CAACCTTTGTGTTGACACTTTTTCAAAACTACTTGTATTCTCAGGAATTCAGTGAAACAGGAAATCAACAACGTTTTGAGGATGGGACGATAATTCGTCAAACAGTTCATTTTGTTTCATAATGTAATTGATGTGAATCATATAAACATATACTTTAATGTAACTTTTTCAATTATATTTGTAATGGTTGTATTTAATTTGAGCACTATTATACTCGTTGTTGTGATACTCTACATGAAGTCCGCCACCCCCGGACGTTTCCGCCATCCTTGGTTTGGGGGTGTGACAATAGCACCTTGCATGCACGTAAAATTGGCAACTTTATGTGTAATGCTAGCCTTAGGAGTCCAGATCTACAAGTGGGAAGCAATGGAATGGACTGTAATCGACAGAATGGAGATGACACAAGTGGACTCGGCGAGTGTGTTCATGGACTCGGCGAGTCGGGTAGCAAACCCAAATCCCTTTTGGTTATGTGTTAGATCAGTGAGTTGGGACTCAGTGGGTTGGACAGGACTAGGAATCGGAGATTGAAGGAATCAGCGAGTCGAGTCGCGAGTTGCATGGTTTTTGAGGTTATGAACTCGGCGAGTCATTAGGCTGACTCTGTGAGTAGGGTCAACTTGGAAGGTTGACTTTGACCAGAGTTGACTTAGTTTGACTTCGGAAGGACAATTTAGGACTAAGTGTTATTTTGGTGTTGGTAGCTCGAGGATCTAGAAGAGCAGCGGTTCGGAGAGTTGTCGGATAGCAGTTAGGAGGGTATCAGCAGAAGCCTCATCAGTGCAAGGTGAGTCTCATCACTGTGTGAATGGGTCTAAGGCCACAATGCCGGCCCATGTAGTTATAAGTAGGAAGACCCAAGGGTTAGACCTAGGCATTGTATGCCAGTATGATATTCCGGACCAAGGTCCGATGTCGGGCGGGTGCCCAAGGGATGTTTTGCATGTTAGATTATACTTGTTGTTTGTGTGATATTTGTATGTGCCTGGTAGGGAGGTGGTTGTGGGCGAGGTCCCGTATCTCATTATCAGCAGATTATGGACGGGGTTCGATACCTCATTAGTAGCAGAGCAGGGATGAGGCCCAAGATAGGAGAGGAGTGAGTGAGGGTGGGGGCCCGTATATCACTAACAGCAGGAGCATGGACGGGGTTTCAAGACTCATCAGTAGCAGGATAAAGGCGAGGCCAAGATAGGCAAGGCCTAGTACAAGAATATAGTATACTCAGTTAGCTTATGTGTTATGAATTATTTATATGCTTGTATCTGTATACCTAGCGGGGCTCAAAGCCAGGCGGGGCCCGATGTAGCGGGTGCGGCCCAGTGTTTGTAGTATGTGATTACGTACGGTATGTGATAGGCTGGGGAACTCACTAAGCTTCGTGCTTACATTTTTTAGTTTTGATTTCAAGTACTTTCGGTAGCGGAGGGAAGAGTTCGGGATGACTGCATCGCACACACACCAAGAAGCTTTAGCTTGGGAGGTATATACTCTGATAAAAGAACATGTTTTGAGATGGTACTCTGATTTAATATAATAACTTTGGTTTATGAACGATATGATTTGTTATTATGGTTTTTGTTACTTAATTAAAAAGAAATTTTTGGGACCGTATTTTGGGATGTTACATTCTAGCCGAAGTAGTTTTGAAGAAAGTTGTAGTACACAAAATTATGAATTCGTGGATATAATGAACGTAAAAAACAGAGATCCTACGTGAAAGATACAATTATCCAAAGAAAACGAGAAAATACATGATAGCTGAAGAGTCTCAAACCCCACCTAATGTAACACTAGTGTTCCATGTGACTTTTTCTTCCTAGCACTATTTTAAAAATTGGCAAATTGGTTCGTACGCTGGGCGTACAAGCCACGTACGTCGGGCGTAGGGCCTTGAATGTGATCATGGAGTCCCGTACGTACACCGGACATACATGCATCTACGCAGGACGTAATTTTCTTCAAAACTTATGGATCAACTCCCCAGATGTTTCATCGTTCGCCATCCCTCTCCAATAATCTGTTATCTTCTTCGGACTCCAATAATCTGTTATGGATCAACTCCACAGGGCGTAATTTTTAGACTAGTTCGTGTACCAGACACTACACCACAAAGTCTTAAGAATGGAATCTATTATGTATTGTCACATAACAATCATGATTTTAGATAAATTCGTGGTCAAGGGTATGATGGTGCAAGCAATATGTAAGGTCGGTTCAAGGGTTTGCAAGCATTGATTTCAAAAGATAGTCCATATGCCTATTATATTAATTGTTTTGTTCATCGATTACAATTAGCATTAATGGACACTTCGCAAGGAGTTGTTGTAGTGCAAAAGTTTTTTACTAAGTTATCTTTTGTTATTAATGTTGTAGGTGCTTCCTCCAAGTGTACTGACCAACTAAGAGACGCACAAGCCGAGCAAATTGCATATATGATTTTTATTGATGTGTTACAGATAGGCAGAGGTCTCAATCATATTAGTACATTACAATGAGTTGGAAATACTATATGGAGCTCTCACCTCAAATCAGTTTCGAGTTTAGTCAAGATGTTTAGTCCTACTTGCGAGGTTTGATTTAAAATTATTGAGGACGGCACTGGTCCGATTAAAAGGGATGCAGATTCAACATATGAGATTATTACTACATTTGAGTTCATTTTGTTTTTCATCTCGTGAAGGAAATAATGGAGATAATTGATTTACTTTGTCAAGCTTTACAAATACAATCTCAAGATGTTTGAAGCTAGTTGCATCCACCACAGAGCTTTTTCAAAATTTGAAAGATGAAAGATAGGATGGTTTGCTCTCTCTCTCTCTCTCTCACACACACACACACACACATTAAGTCATTTTGTCAGGATCGCGAGATTGATATCCCTGATTTATCGTCTGCCTACTTTAGCAGAGGGGCTCGAGCTCGTAAGGAGCATAACGATCATACACTTGAACATCATTACCGAGTGGATATCTTTTACGAAGCCATTAATTGTCAATTAATGGAATTGAATCACCGGTTTAACGATAGATCAATGGAGTCGATTCAACTTTCAACAACTTTAAATCCTAATTAAAAGTGTTAATGAGTCTTTTCAAAGTGTTGATGTATGCCGGTTAATGAAGAAGTTTTATCCTGAAGATTTTAGTGAACAAGAGAAATTACTTTTGAAGATACAACTTCAACACTATGAGATTATTATCGTTAAACACACAAATTATAAACTATTGGCATCTATTTCAGAGTTGTGTCAATGGTTTGATAATGACCGAAGAGTGGCTAATTTTCATCTTATTTATCGAGTAGCTAGTCTCATACTTAATCTTCCAATTTTCACTGCTACAACAGAGAGATCATATTCAGAGATGAACCATATTAAAATAAGGTTACATAATAAGATGGAAGATGAGTTTTTGAACGACTCATGGTTTTGCACTTTGAAAGGAAACTTGCCGAAACGATTAGTCTAGAAACAATTATGCAAGATTTCAAAAAAGTAAAAGATCGACGAGTTCCACTTTGAAGTGCGATCTAACAATATTTATTATTAGTTTTCTTGTTTCTAATTTTGATATGTCATAATTTTGAACCAATTTTTTTTGTCTATATGGTTTTGTTTTGAAGTTTTAATTTCGTCCCTAGCTATAGTGCTTGTGTTTTCGCCCCTCGTTTGATATTTGTGTTTGGCTTATGTAATGCTGGAGCTTTGCAATGGTTGTATTTGTTTGTTTAATAATTTTTTGATTTTTATCTTATTGGTATGTGTATCTATGTGGTAGAACTATTCCGAAGTTCAATACCATCGAACATGTGTTTATAATTCATATTGACGTATCACCTGGTTGACTTCATATGTCGACTTCACATGCCGGATTAACCTCTTTCTTTTTCCTTCTCCACCGTAGTCCACCCATCTCATCCATCTTTTCCGGTAAAACCTTCGGCACATTTTCGCCTCCCATGAGAACAGTTCTAGCTTATAATTGTTTAGACGACTCCATGCATTTGTTAGATGAAGATCTTGGCATATTCTAATAAGACCCATACCCACCATCCAAATAATGGCAATTTAAGCTACCGACAACCCAACAAATTTTAATTTCACAAAAGGTACAATCCCGTGTTCCATATTCCCTGTGTAATGCTATGAATTTAAGGAAAAATAAACTATTATTTTATCATATTATAGTTATATGTAACATTAAATATTTAAACAACTTAAAACTTAAAAGTATATAATAGCTTAAATTTGAAGTTAATTCAGTAAATTTTCTTATCATAAAACTTGTCGCAGATTGTATAATTGATAGCTTGATCTGATTACCAAACTTTTTTTTTGGAGTCGTTAATTTTGTCACATTAAGTGGGACAACAAAGTTTAAATTATGAATTCGCCAGGGGATCTAATATTTCTATAGATGTCCAACAAATTACATTATCGTACTTTGTAACCTTAGTTATTATTATACCAATCAAATTCGAGGATATGATGTCTAAATTAAACATGCTTTGCGCTTGATGCTTTTGCATTATATAGATTAGATTAGATGAGGATCGCCACTAGTAACAGCTAGAAGTTACCCATTTTTGTGTAGGATCTGATAAAGCTATGATATTGAATAATTTTCCAAATAATTAATGCTCAATGTCCACACATTTTACTTAACTTTGTTATACACTATCATGAGACGTTGAAGATTTTCCAAATATGGTTAGTATCGTGAATAGCTTAGATACTAATTTTCTTTAGACAAAATAATCACAATTTTGTTTTTCAAAGATCCAAAAATCAGTCACATCAAACCAAACGATTTTAGACCAAGTTAAAAAGAAAAAAAATTCCAGTTGTATTTCATTATTTGTTACAATGAAAGAAATGATATGAACGAGATTTTGGAGTTCCCCACCTAGATTTGTCGTCTGTCCTTTTTGTTGTTGGGGCAGATTTGAACTCCCCTTTTTTGGTTTGGATTTTGGCCACGTCTTTTCGAACGAAACCTTAGGTGATCGAGTAGTAAAAATCTTGGTGCTTGTAATTTGTAAAGCTTTTTTATCTTAATGATTATATGGTGAAATACATAACAAGATTTTTGTTATGATTAGTCAATTAATTATTGATACAGTAGATGTTTAGACCCCTTAAAATGCCTACCAAGAGACTAGAGTCACCAACTTATGGCCAATTCCATGAAGAAAACTAGTGATTGGTTTGCTTTCATTTGTCTCAATTTTTATTCCATACTTGTATGTTTGAATATTTAAAGAGCTTTTTTAATTTCAGTGTTAACAGGATTCTCTCCCATGAGATCCCAAGCGATGTTACAATTCACATTGGAGGTGCTTCTTTTTCATTACACAAGGTATGATTTGTGATTGTGTGTATCCTCTTGTAATTATCCATCTTATTTCTATAATTTTATGCAGTTTCCATTGGTGTCAAAGTGTGGTTACATAAGAAAAATTGTATCCAACCACAAAGATTCTGATATTTTAGTAATTGAAATCCCTGATGTCCCTGGAGGCCCTGAAGGATTTGAACTTGCTGCAAAGTTTTGTTATGGAATAAATTATGAATTATCAACAGAAAACATTTCCATAGTGAGATGCGTTTCAGAGTTTCTTGAAATGACAGAAGATTATGCAATTGGAAACCTTGTAACAAGATCTGAAGCCTATTTAGATGAAGTAGCACTTAAAACATTAGGTGGTGCTGTTACCATTTTGCAATCATCAATAAATTTGTTACCAATGGCTGAAAAAGTGAAGTTAATTACTCGGTGTATTGATACTATTGCATATATAGTGACCAAAGAAAGTGAGTTTTGCTTTGGTGATTTGGTTTCCTCTTCATCAAATATGAAAGCTATAGTTGATTGGAGGGTTGAAGATTTAATTATGCTTAGAATAGATGTATTTCAAAGGGTTCTTCTTGCAATGATATCAAGGGGATTTAAACAATATGCACTTGGTCCGATTCTAATGCTTTATGCTCAGAAATGTCTTCAAGGTTTGGTAAGATTTCTTTTTGTTGTAGGAGTATTTAAAGAAGGGTAAATTGCAAGAAAAGTTGGTGTAATTTCATTACATATCATCAAACTTTTGTTTTTCTTAATTAAAAGATTGTACGCTACTTTGAAAAATCTACCCAGTTATAGCAATCTCGTCCAAATAGAAACCTATTTTCACAGCTATATATGAGATAGATTTATCAAAGTAGCGTACAATCTTTAAAATAACAAAAAAAAAAAAAAAAAAATGAAAGTACAATGTTTTAATAGAAAGAAATAAAAACCGGATGCTATGTAAACAAATAAATAAAAATACATTGTTGTTTCTTGCATTAACCGTTTGGCTCTTCACTTGTCACCAAATGACATCATTTTAAACTGGAGTTGCTATAGACTTTCTACATGAATCACTTCATTATTGAATGAGATTTTTTTCAATAGAACTCCATAGGAATCACTTAATTTTCCATTTATTCATATGTACAATTTAACATCAAACAGGAGGGTCTCGTAAAGGAGAAGAAAAAAATCGACTCAAAACAAGAACACGAAAAGAGGATAGTTCTAGAAACAATAGTAAGCCTCCTACCAAGAGAAAGAAACACAATTTCGGTCAGCTCTCTTTCAATGTTACTTCGGGCAGCCATATACCTTGAAACAACAATGGCATGTAAGCTAGACTTAGAAAAGCGAATGGGCTTACAACTCGGGCAGGCAGTCTTGGATGACATACTAATTCCATCTTTTCATTTTGATGGTGACATATTGTTTGATGTTGATACTGTCCAAAGAATCATGATGAATTACCTTGAATATGAATTAGAATCTACAAATATCCAAGAAAATAACATGGAAAAAGTTGGAAAATTAATGGAAAGTTATCTTGCTGAAATAGCTTCCGATAGGAATTTAGAATTGTCAAAATTTATGGATTTTGTTGAACATATTCCAGAACAAGCTAAGGTATCAGATGATGGAATTTATAGAGCCATTGATATTTACTTGAAGGTATGTATATCGTATCTCTTCTTCTTAACATTTATATATTATTTATATAGGGAGTCATAAAAGTTAATGTTAGGTAATGAACATTTGTTTTTTTTTTTTACAAAATTGCATTGTTTTAAATGAGTACCATAAGCCCCACGTGATAATGGTACATATTGAATAACATTAAAGTGATTAAATGAAAACATACATAATAGTTTGTTTCTAAATTATTACATAAACCCTTATTTGTATAACATTTTACAGGCTCATCCAACATTAAGTGATATGGAAAAAAAGAAAGTTTGCAGCTTGATGGATTGTGAAAAGCTTTCACGTGAAGCATGTGCACATGCTGCCCAAAATGACAGGCTACCTGTGCAAACTGTGGTTCAAGTTCTTTTCTACCAGCAACAACGCTTAAGAGACACCATGGGTGGTGATGGTCTAATAGCAGTTGAACCCTCCACCACCATCACCACTGCACCACCACCACCACCAACAAGCCATCATCCCATGAGCTTTCATGGCTAATAAAAGAAAACCAGGACATGAAATTTGAGCTTTTAAATATGAAAATAA